AAAAAAGCTTTAATGCATATGTGTCAACTACAATAAGTGTATTCTGTTAGTCTAATAATGTTTTTCAGACACCAGTATCAAACTTAATTATTGAACATCAGCTGTGCAATAATAATCTAAGATCTGCAAAAGATATCGTTCTATTAATTCTGTCTATTCAGTAATTATTATTCGTTGTGACGGTATAGATTCATGTCACGAAATATGTGTGTATAATTGTGTCTCGTGATAATTAATGCATTAAAATTTTAAAAATATAAACCAGTGTCAAAATAAAATATTGTGTTGGCTTTAATTAATTGACTATTTGTAGATGCAAAATAAAGTGTAAGATAACAACAAAATTTGATAGTTGAAACAAATATAGATAATTTGAAAATTACATGAGTTTAAGCAGAAAAAAATACACAAAATCGATGAATTTTCCTTCCGTCCTTCTTTCATTCCGTCATCACCAGTTTCCGTTCTTATCTCGGTAAGGATTGCACACATTCAATTCAAATTTGAAATATGGATATATCAACAGAAAATGCAGGTCAAGTTCGAATTTGGTCATTGTCCGATGATTTTTGACAGTTTTGTGCCTTCATGAAATTTTCAGTTTCCGTCAACGGTATTACATATTCAACTTATATTTGACACATGGATATGTCAAAGGAATGCGCCGGTCAAGTTCTAATTTGGTCATGGAAAGATGATTTTTAACAAAGTTATGCCCATTAACTTTGAACAAAATAAGAAATTTTCAGTTTCTGTTCATTTTCTCCCCAACAGTTTTACTTGTTCAACTCAAATTTGATTTATGGATATGTCATAGGAATGTGCAGGTCAAGATGAAATTTGGTCATGATACAGAGTTATCCCTCTAGAATTTTCATAAAAAAAATATTTTCAGTTTCCATTCATTATCTCCCATACAGCTGTACACATTCAACTCAAATTTGACATATGGATACGTCAAAAGAATGCACAGGTCAAGTTCCAATTTGATCATGGATAAATGATTTATGGCAAAGTTATGCCCCTATATCTTTGAAAAAAAGGGAAATTTTCAGTTTCCGTTCATTTTTTCCCCTAATAGTTGTATATATTCAATTCAAATTTAACATATGGATTTGTCATATTAATACACTGGTCAAGTTTGAATTTAGTCATGGTTTAATGATTACTATCAGAGTTATGCCCCTTAACTTTGAACAAAAAAAGAAATTTTCAGCTTCTGTTCATTTTTCCCCCAAGAGTTACCCCTCTTAAACTTTGGAAAAAAAAATTTTTTTAGTTTCCGTTCATTATCTCCCTAATGGTTGTACACATCCCATTTAAATTTGACAATTAGATAAGCAAGTCAAGTTTGAATTTGGTCGTGATTCAATGATTTTGGGCAATGTTATCTCTCTTGAATGTTGGAAAAAAATTTGAAATTTTCAGTTTCAGCACTCTTACTTTTATGGAAATGTATGTAGTCATAATATCGGCTACAAATATGCATTATGCAATTTACAAAAGGTTAACACTGTATAGTTCCAGTGCCTTGAACTGTGTATAAAACAGACAGATAACTCTTAAATATTTTTGGAAGATAAAAGTACACGAAATGTCTAGAACTTTTGAATTTTTTATCTTTTATTAATTTATCTTTTCCGATATCTTTAATTGTAATTTTGTGTGACCGGTAACATCGGCTGAAATACTGTAATGAATTTATTTTTCGAAAATAAAACGTTATATTCTAAATTTATGATGTGCTGTTCGTTCCAAGAAATCACACAATCCCATAATTTTTTCAGACTTTTCATAGTCTATTAACAATAGAATGTTTGTGTTACGTATCTATGTTATCCGAACAAGATACATATATTTTATAATTATTTACACTTTTTTATAATTAAAAATGCATCAAATCATATTAAGCACAGAACTGACGAAAGAGAAAACAACTAGAAGCATGTGATTGAAAAATAATATCTGAAATAAGATGATTAATATTTCTCTGTTGAAAAATGGGCGATTTTTAGTTGTCCTTACTTTGTCTATTGTCAATACAATGTTTTAGCTATAAAAAAAAATCAATACATTTTATGCAAAAAATGATATTTAGTTAAAACATCTGAAGATCACTTTTCACTGAACGAATGACTGGTTTTGTCTAAAGTTTTATCTTAATCAAAATGATTTTATTTCCCACTTACAGGGGAAATTGACTTTTTAAAAATATACTTTCATTGTTATTAGAATGCACATGCAAATGACATGTCTAGAATTGATATTTTGTGAGAAGAAATCGTAGCTTTATTTGTTATGACTGTTTAATAGATAGAACCTTCTTATGTACTCTAGTGTTATGGCATTTTTATGGCTTGATTTTTTTTGTTCTTTGTCTACACTATATATGTCGTGCAAATGGTTCAACAACCTTCTAACATAGGTCGAGAAATAAGTGTGTTTGTGTCAATTTCCATTATTTTGATAATAGCTGAAAGTGAAATGTACTTTCTTGGCCTGTTTTGATATCTTTTTTGATGCAATTCTTTAAATGGTTGTTCGGTTCAATACTTAATGGATTATAAAGTTGTACACTATTTAACACTTACCACTTATCTTAAATAGAGTTGTCAAGTTTTCAATACTAGCAAAACCATTCATTATTTTTAGAGAACATTTCGACGCATGTACCGACTGTGATCAAGCAATGGGTTGTTTTGTAAAGGTGCTGCTGAAACTAATTTCCTAAGAATTTAAAAACAATTAAATTATTGCATTGTCGTTCTTTAAACAGTAACTATCGTTTAAGGAAGCCATTTATCTCCAACTTTTAATTTGCTGTGCTTCGTGACGTATATTTTCACGAAGATATCTACCCACTATCATTAGTTTTGCTTCATAAGATCCTGTACTTGTTCGCCGACAGCATGAGTAATTGAACCAAGAGAACCTTGCAGGAGGGATATATCCGAATATTTCTACAAGCAATCTTAAATTAGAAGACTGAAAGACGATATCTATTGCTTTGTTTCTATTAAACTGAAGCAGAACCTCATTGTCATAAAACGAGACGAAATGTGTTTTGATATACATGTACGAGTAATGTTATAAATTATTCTGCAAAGATATATCTTACCGTTACGGGTTTTTTCTAAATCATTAGTAAGAATATTCATTTGAATTTATTTTATATAAATAATATAAAATTATTATAGCATATGCTCCGTTATATTCTGACATTTTTTGTTTAAGCGTTTGAATTTCATTTTAATTTCAGGTAAGTTAACGTTTTCTGCTTTTTGTGTTCTCTTTAAGGTGAGGTACAAGTAAATAACCTAACATGATTTACAGTAGATGGTGCAACTTTAAAGTTCAAACAAAATAAACCAGCTTAACCACCAAGTTCACTCTATTGATGAACATATGTTACTTACACATATTTCGGATCAATAAATAGTCTTCTACCTTTAAAATCAGGGCCTAAAAGCTGACTATCCTTCTTTACAATCTTTTATCAAAAGAGCCTCAGAGATCATCCAATTTAAATATTTTATTGTTTGCGTTTTCATATAATTATATTGTTTCCTTTTCATATGCCCGACAGAATTTCGGACATACAATGTTATTCCCCCTGGCATCCGTCTGTCCGCCGTTAGCAATTTGGTTTCCAGTGTATAACTTCAGTTCCATTTTGCCCACAATATTCAATCTTCATAGGATGATTGTCAATATTGAGTAGAAGACCACTATTGATTTTTGGGTCACAAAGTCAAAGGTCAATGTCACAGTGACTATAGCCTTAAAACTGAAAAAACAGTTTCCGCTCAATAACTTTAAGTATAAATCAACCTACAGCTGTAAAATTATATAGGATGAACAGCCATGTCATATACATGGCCCCTACAGATTTTAGGGTCATAAGGTCAAAGTCAGGGTCACATTGATCTTAACACTGGGAAATTGGTGCTTTCTGGAGCATAACACAAAGTTCCATTTTTTACTTACAGTATTCAAACTTCATGGGATGATTGCCTATATTGAATAACAGTTCCATATCTATATTGTGGTCTTAAGGTCAAAGGTCGATATCAAATGACCTTAATATTGTTAACAATTTTAACAACTGTCAAACTTCAAAGGATGATCATTAATATTGAGTACATTAATCATATGTCCTAAAAATTTGCTTATATTTTGTTATACACCTGGGCAGCGTTTTACTAACATTGCGTAAGTTTTTCCGTAAGAATTATCGTAACTTTACGCTTACGTTTAAACTTACGTAAATCGTAAGAGCGTTTCACAAAACTTCCGTAAGTTTTTCCGTAGACTTACGTTAAAAATAATTCGTAAACTCTTCAAATGGAGGTTTGAGAACTCTTCACTATGGGAGGCGTTTGCGGGAATCAATGTCAAAATACACTGTCGTCTGTCAAAATGGAAACTGTCAACGTCAAACGTGCGAGAAAGTTGAATTGGTCCCAGGCTGAAGTCGATGAACTACGAAATTCATACTTGGAGTTTCGTAGTGGTCATCGATGGACGCCTGGGAGTCACTCTCACTAATTACCAGAAAGAGCAGACATGGAGAAGTATTCAGGAAAGGTAAATGTCTATCAATGTGATTCATCAAACATTTTTTTCAGTTGAACAGAGCATAAAAAGTATTTGCAGTAGCTCCGTGATTTGATATGCTTTTGCATGGCCATTAGATCTATTAAACTTAAACTGCAGTTGGAATAAAAGCAAACGTGTTGATTCACAAAGGCGATTACAAATAAAAAAAGTGGGTGGGGGAGGGGGGTTACGGTAACGGTTTAACTGCATACAATTACATGCATGTAATGAAAATATCTACACCGAATTTGTATTCGTAAGTAAAATGGGTTCAAGTGACAATGGAATCTTCTTATTATTGTCATTTTTATTATATGCACATATATGATACAGACACTAGCTATTGTACTTATGTGTATGCAATCAGAATCGATGTCCAAGGATATTTTTACCTAAATTGTAAAAGCCATTTTAGGAATTTTGGTAAAACACTAATAAAAATAAGCTTTGAACTATATACATTGTATGTTTTATGTATTTAAAAAAAAAACACTTTAATAATAAACTAATCATGTCATGAATATAGTTTAATTTTAAACTTGTGTTCCTACGTGATTTTTTCATTTACATCCATCTTTTGAAGAAAAAAACACAGACTTTTGAATTGTGAAGGGGCCCATGATAGGCTCAGTTACATAGCCAATTGAAATGCCCTGAAATCACTTATGATATTTCTTTATATTTGAAAGATAAATAAAAAACAAAATGACAAATTCTTTATTTATTCATTCAAATTATGTATATCACAGTCTAGAAGCGTTCACTTTTTTAGGGGTATATTTGTAAGTTGTTAAATAGCTGTTGAACAGTATTCCGAAGTACCCGGGTTTCAAGTCCATGACCACCCTGTGACATATATATCAAAATTTAGTACTTGCGGAAAAGGAAATATTAATTTTGAATGATCATTATTTGACATAATATAGAAAATATTGAATTCCTCAAGTTTATTTTCAATATTTTTTTGTGTTTCGTCTTGTGGATAAAATTAAAGTTTGTTTAACTTGTCAAACATAATGTTATAGAGGCTAGCTTTACAACAATATCTTGAACTTGTTTCATAAAACTTTATATGACTAATCATGTGACACCAAATATTTCTTAAATGTCAGCATGTTATCATTACTTTTGTAGTTTTTCAAAGAGTAGCTGAAATTAGGTCATCACCGAAACAGAGCAGATATAAACATATCAAAGGAAAATACATTACCTTCTTAAATATCAATCAAGTAAAAAGATTAGTGTTCCCTTATACTCTACCTAAATTTAAAGCTAGTTTTAATATAAATCTGCTTCAGTTTTTCTGACATGTTATTGGACGAGATTTTTTGAAATATTTTTGAATGTGCATTTTTATATATTGCAATCAGGATAAATGCACAAAGCAAGGAGACCCGGAACATTGGACGAAATCAAGAAGAAGCTGTCAGACATGAAAACAGCTATCAAGAAGAAGGAGAGGGAGAGAAGACAGTTTGTCCACCAAGACAGGCGGTGGCCCTGCTCCTTTTACTTAATGAACAGGATGAGAAGGTAACTATAAAATAATTTTCTAATAGAGATATTTGAAAACTATTTTCTTGCATAAAATTGACAAGTACATTTTCATTCCTAGTAATATTTATTTTCAGTCTTATTGATAACACTGAAATGGTTCAGTAGTGAAAGCATTTTTTTAAGATTGGATTAGTTTGTTTACAAATATAAATGGGAAAATAAAAAGTTACCATAGTTTTCTATCAAATTTAATATGAATATTTCATAAGATAAGATATCAAAGGCATACTATTCCTCAGAAATGAATACACATATTTGTCTCTAAAAAGGGCAAAATTTGTTTTATAATGTTGTAAAAATAAATTTAAAGCATATTAGCAATGTGTATGTACCACCTGAAGAGAGATGCACTGGAAGTGAAATAATTTGTCATAAATACAGCAAAATGTAAACAAAGTAGTAATTCACTTTAACTGTAATAGTTGCCAAATAGCAAAGAAAGCTATGTTATAGATATATAGCTAATGCGATTTCTTTTGGAAACTGCAACAGGGCACCAAAATAAAGGGCTCTTTGAAAACTAAGAAATATGGCATTGTCAGACCTAATGTGCCTTGAATGGAGGAGCATATCATGTGACATCTAAACCAAATGCATTTTGGTTGAAATCCTGCTTTAAAATATCTCAACTTGACTTTTCAATAAGTTTTACAAGAACTGAACTGTGAAATCAAAACAATTTAATAATGTATACACATGTCTGTTTCAATTCTTTTTTTTTACCCGAAGTGCTCCATTTTTTCATTCTTTATTTAGATGATAGAAGCCATTGGGGAAGTGGCAGTTGGAGGTTTTGAAGGGAAGGATACATTCAGTATCAGTGTAGAAACTGGTAAGCATTATTCATCTCAACCTTTTCTTAAATTGTTAAAATGCTAGAACCTAGCTCCAGGTCAACCTTTGATATTTTCAAATTGAACAAGAGCTGTCGATAGGGCAGCAAGCTTGACTATCTTAGTGCTTGATATAAGAGCCTTGATAATGGGAAAAATTTTTTGAGTTAATAACAAAAAGG